CACTCGATCGCTTGTTTCTTTGGCAAATGTTTAGACGGGCTCCATTCTATAGTGGTTTCTCCTCTTATAGAATCGTTTTTTTCATCCCTAACTAATTTTTCTCATCCTAGAGAGTGCGTCCAAATTTTCATTGGAAGGCACACAATCTACCCGCAGTTTCAGTTCTTATACTTAAAATTAACACTTTTATATTCCTCAACGTTTGACAAGTCATTCTATGGCCCTTGTACGCACTCCTTTATCACAGGTGATTACTGTCTTTAGCATGCAAATACAATAGCCTAATCAGGTTCAATATCCTGTATCCCCTACCTCAATGTCAAATTCTTTCATTACTCATATAGTTATATAAAGTCCGGAGTTATTCAGCAATGGGATAAGGATCTGCCAATTTCCCGTACACTGAAAATAACTCCCTTCTACCCGACTCATTTTTCATTCGAGGAACTTCGACCTCTCCCCCACCTCCACATCAGTTGTTATGACCTTTTTTTTTTTTTTTTTAATTTGAGTCCTAATGCAGCCATCCACAAGCAAAAAGCAAAAAAAAAGTAGTGTGATTCTGTCTTTGGTCTATTTAAATCCCCGACTATTTAAGTTTATATTTCTTTAAATCTGACCCAAAATGGAGTAACGCTAGCACATTTAGGCTGGGGCGGCCTAGTCTTCATTGTCCAGTCTTGTCAGAGTTCAAAAGCGATGAAGTGCTCTTAGTGATGATAAATTATTTCCTATCCTACAACCCCTTTTTCTCACAGTCGGTATATTACTAGTATCTCGCTGCTCTGTCACTATTTCTATGCCGAGCTTCATTTTTTAGTTTCACCAGTTCAGATCATTACAGCTAGCACTTTCCATTCGACGAACACATGATTGAATAATATTCATTCCCTTCGTATTTTATTAATAAGAAGGAAGTTCCTTTAGGATTTCTTCTTCCCCAGAATTGATACTTTGTGGGAACAGACTCCCGAGTGGATACTTCCTCGATCGCAACAATCATAAACCTCTTCAAGTCTAGGGTCAACTGTTATCTAGTCCTTTGTTTTAAAACTAATGTTCATCCAATACCCAAAGGCCACTCAAGGTAGGAGATTATTGTGTGAAATTGCATTAGCGTAAGAAAGGGAAACATAACAGGAAAGATAGCGAGGTAATTCTAGACTTGAAGAGGTCAAGATTTAATTAAAATTTCAGCGTTCAGGCGGAGGCATTATGTGTATAGAGTTGAAATAGACTTTAGAAGGAACCATGAACCCAGTACTAAACAAGAAATGGAAGGGATGAACCTCAACTGCTGTTCAAAAAATTGTGGAGGAGTGTAAACCGGGCGACAGATAAACCTATCTAGTCCCATTAGAAGAATAATAATAATTACTGAATAAAATTTCAGATTTCAGGAGGCGATGTAATAAGTACAGATTTGAAGGAACCCGAAACCCAATCCTAAACAGGAAACAAGGGATGAACCTCTACTCCTGTTCAGAGGTGTGAGAGCCGGAGCCTACATATAACCATAATATGCACTTTTTACTCTCCCTTTACGGTCTTAAATCGACCTCATTCAGTAAACCTCTACCTTGAGCGGGTTTTTTGTCTTGTATTGATTGAACAATAGTGTAAAAAAAATACATAATCTCCCGCCCCCATTCTACGCGGCAATTGCGTTCACGAATACATCTACTCATTTGCATGGCACACATTAATAACAATACCTATCGAGTTCGATCCTCACAACATATTTACTGGCGTGTCCTTGTTTCAAACTAGTTTCAGATTTCTTAATTTTCCTCTCTTTGTTCTCGCTTTTGTCTTGCGTTGCATTCTACCTTTATGATTATTACACGAACGAAAGGCTGGCCGGTAACTAAGCAGTGTTAAGCTGCCAGTAAAGCAAACAGTTCGATTGCTAGATGTGATCAGTGATCGGTCATCAGTTTTTCTCGCAGGTTGACACTAGAGACAAACAATGTAAGATTCTTATAAGACGCTCATATTTCTCCACGATTTGCGTCGATCAGAGAAACACGCGATCAAGGAGTCAGTCATCCACACGTTTATCTCATCTGCCCACAATTTACTGTCGAAAGTGATTGAAAGATAAAAATATAAGTTACTCGTTCGATGCTACATCGCTTCTCCGATCGCAAAAGGATCAAATTTCAAATCTAAATTGTTTGTCCATTTAAAATACTACATTAATTAGAAAATATATTCAGTTTAAACATAGATTCCATAAGAATGACTTCAAAGAACTGGTTTATACTTTTTTTCCTGTTACCCAGAGGTTGTTTTCAGACAGAAAGGGGAGTTAGACCATGCGGCATATATTTCTATTTCAATTTCATTCAAATTATGTTTGTATGCTTGGGTTTGCGCATGTATTTCAATTAAAAATATTTCTATAAAAAAATTAAAATATTTCTATAAAAAAATTAAAATATTTCTATAAAATTAAAATAAATATATTCGAAAAATATTTATCACTGAATAATTTCCGAAAAGTTCAAGAAAATTTTTAGGGTTTAAAAAATTAACGTGCGTTTTTTGTTTTTGATTTTATCGACTGCACAGTAAAATAGAATCAGTTGGGCACTGTCTGTGAGGAGAAGAGCGCCATGATGCAATTCACTCCGCTCGAAATTTGGAAACGGTATGCTGTCATTGACACCGAAAGCTCCAATACGAGTATTTGGCTGTCAATCAGAGGACAGTGCAGAGAATTCAGAAACAGTTGGATGATATATCCAGTCAATATAGTGTTTGGAGTGATCACTAGTGATGACGACGTTATGCCTCTATTCATCTCCCGACAGGGCCCCAGACTCAACACGGAAGCCTACATAAAGGGACTTGAAGAGGTAGTGGGTCAAGAGTGTAGCTGATGGAGGACACTATATCTGGCAACAGGACTCTGCACCATGCCACACAAGCAGGAGAACCCAGTCATGGCTGTTAGACAATTTCTACAACTACATAACCCCTTACATCTGGCCACCTAACTCCCCAGACTGCAACCTCCTTGGTTATTTTGGGGTGCAGTTGAGTGAGAGACCAACAAAATTCCTTGTAACACCAAAGATGAATGGAAAGCAAGGATTATGGCAGTATTCACCAACTTAAGCAAGGAGATCGTCCAGAAGAGTTGCAGGAGATTCTGAAGTCGCCTGGAGGCTGGGATTGAAATCAATGGCGATTTTATTGAATAAATTTACTCTTTAGTATTTCAAGATATTTTTGTGTAATTTTGATAAATACAGGATGCCCCAAAAGAACGGGAATTTTTGAAGTGCGTATTGCCAGACATGAGCAAGTGGCAACACTGCGAGACAGTGACCTTGAGCAATTAAACATTTCACCATTTAGAATTCAAGATGAAATTCACAGTATCCCAGCTGAGATGTTGCAGAAGTCAATGAGGAATCTCAACAGCAGATTTCAAGAATGCATTCGTACAGGAGGACGCCATCTACAGGACGTAATTTAAAAAAAAATGAAAATTCCATCATTGTTTCTTAAATAGCATGTTTTAAGATTTCAATTACTATGAATAAAATATTTTTCTTCCATCACTCTTGGTTTTATTGGATTGTTAAAAAGTTCCCGATTTTTTTGGGTCACCCTATATATCCGTTAAAATGAGATGTCAGTGTTATTTTCATTTTTGTGTAATTTAGACAACAATTTATCCATCCCATCCCACCCTGTAAGTGGTGAAGCAATCATTCTAAGTAATATGGTTAATGAAAATATATATATGGCATCCGTTGCTCACGAGAGACCTTGGATTTGCGCCCAAAGAGTTATATCTTAGCTGATGATGCGGGTGGTGCAGTCTCTGTTATGACTTCTCTAGGGCTCAGGTCTAGGCAGGTTTTGATGAGAGATCAGCGGTTGACCATGCAGTACGTCTTCCCTCTCTACGCTACGGATGTTGTCCAATGGAAAGGCAGTACCCAATACAGCTTGGCACAGGCGTCGTCGCAAGAGTTGCCAGAATAAAGTTGAATATAACATCGAGCTGATTTAGGGACTCTGGCCCTGGATTTGTCCTCAATGTTTACTCCCGAACCCTTTCCCATGATTCGGTATGGTGGCAAGGCAAGAGTTTTCCTTCTCTTAGATCGACTACCCTCCCGGGATAACGAGTTCCATCGACCCGAAGTATATAGATACACACATAAACACTTATATACATTTTATACTGCATGTAGGAGTAAACAGTTCGTCATCAAACGTCGCACTTTAAGAATTATTATTGGAATTAGTAATAGAATTCATTAAATAAATAAATAAAGAATAAAAGTATAAAATTATCATCAAATATATGGGAATATTTTTTTTATTATTAAAAATATTTGAAGAATAAATAATTAAAGAAATTCACTATTCTGAATCAATAAAAAAAAGTAGTAACCGAAAAAAAGTAGCTTAGTTACGGCGCAAGGACGATAGTATGGGGCATCCAGTGAGGATCGAACTCACTACTCAGTTGTAATGGTTCTGAGAAAGCTTGCTAACCATTGCACCACGTCGAAGAACCCACGATACTTTTCCTATAAATCTGAAAATACATCCTAGATCATAAAAATGGCTAGCTGAGACATCCGGAAGAGGCATGGTACGTAGAACTAGAACAATCTACCCCGGTGGGTGAAATAAAGTGTTTAGTTCGAAATTCCAATCAGCTGAAGAAGGCCCGGGTACACTGTACAACAGCCGAAACGTCGTGAATATGACAGTAAAGATGAGGACAACAGTCCGCACAGTGTAAATAATGTAAATAATTGCTACGTAATTTGTTGCGATATTTATTCATGAAAAATGCATAAAATGTGGCACAAGGCCAAAAGTTGGAGCAGACGGAAGAGATGGTCACCTTCTATCTTAACATTTAACTTAACTAATCACAGTCACTGACCAAGTCATTTGGCAATATTCCATTCACCAAAACAACACTTTCTTACTTATCTTTCTTACTCCTATCAACATTAGGTTTACAGCCACATCACATTGAAACAACGGTTCCTGTACGATCACCGAAGTTAAGCAACGTCGAGCCCCTACTCAGTACCTAAGTGGGTGACCACTTGGGAATACCAGGTGCTGAAGATTGAATGTGCGAGTAAAGTAATCTATAATGGCACGAAATTGTTAATCTGAGTGCAGAGTTCCAATTCAAGTTGGGTTCGTTGTACTTACTTACATGCAAAGAAAAGGGAAAGGTATGAATCAAATTCTTCTCCAGCTATGGGTTAATTAGTAAGAACTGTATCACTATACCGTTATTATCTCAAAAAAATTCTAACAATGTAAAAAATATTTTCTGGCTTGAAATAATTTGCAAAAGATTGATAAACCGGAGAAAAGAAGTCAATCAATACTATTACTGTTATGATGTTGATTTGGGGTTAGTAGAGACAAACGCCAAATAACAAGTAACAATAAAAAGGGGTTTATTAGGTTGGTAAGTTGGTACAGAAATCGCCTGAGTAGTCTATAACTAGCTCAGCCCAAACTTCTCTCTCTCCCTCTCTGTCTTTTGACATGCCACTATTTAAAGTCTTTGTTTGTAGACAAGTTCATCTTCAAGAGGGGTGGTAGGTTTCCTACACAACAATTACCATAATACAACGCTTTTTCAATGAAGTCCTAAGTAGTCCCCATATATACGCGTCCTGGGTATGACGATAAACTACATCCGACAGCAAAGCCTCTGATGAAGAGGTTTTGAGGAGCGTGGAACCACCTCTTAATTGCTGGTTTTCCTAGGTTCACCCTGATCCGTGATGGTAGCACCTGTTAGGATCCCAGCTATGGGCAAATAGTTAACCCCTAAACTGGGATCAAATACCAGCAGTACATTTCTGTAAAAAATATTACCAGCAATTAATTTTTGAAGAAAAAATTATTACCAAGAATGCATTATTACCAGCAATACATTTTTGGAAAAAAAATATTACCAGAAATACTTTTTGAAAAATATTACCAGCAATAAAAATCTTGTCGGCATTAAATAACCAATTGTGGTAAACCAAACCAAGCCCATATGTACAATTGTTTATACGGCGAGGGAAATAAAACTAACAACTTTTAAAAATCTAATCCTGTCAATGTGTATTTACAATGCTCTAAATTATTTACAGTAAACAAACAAAACCATAGTTAGAAGCCACCTACAATGACAACCGTGACAGAAATACCAGTTAACTAGACGAAAATAATGTGGAACTAGATAATAAATAACCCATGAACTCGAACAAACACTTACCCAATCACCCAAACATTTAGAAATATTAACAAATGCGAAAAACATACGCGAAACTACATCCACTAAAGAACTGACATCTCTGACAGGGAAAGGAAAGGAGTATTACATTTAGTTACAGCAGTCTTCGCTGCTATTTAACCTATAGCTGGGGAGAAGTGGATTCATGTTTTTTTGAGTAGCATTTGTAAGAAAGTGAATGCAACGGACTAGACTGGTATTTGAACTCGACAGCATTCATATTACTCGCATTTCCGATTTTAGAGCATAGTTTTTATGATTGTTATCTTTCATTATATAATTATTGTTGTTAATTTTTTATCTAATTCATAAATGAAACTTCGCCAGAGGTACTTATAGGGAAAAACAGTATAAGTATAGGAGTCGTTATTGACAACGGTTTCAAGTACCCACTGGATGTCTTAGAAATATCCTCGCAGAAAATTCTGTATTTCTTTGGTGTTTTTTTTTTTTTTTTTTTTTACGCGTACAAATAGTTAACCTGACAATTCAATCAGTGCAGAGAAAGTCGTACTTAAACTGACCTCCGCGACTCTTTGCTTCAACAATTCTCAAAATCTTTCTTCTAACGTCTTTCGAACAAATTTTATTAACACGAGAACAAACAGAGTCTGGAAATCATCTCAAGTCTGATATTAGTTTTCATATTCGACATGAAACCAATGAGCAGCCGAAGTAGCTTTTTATGCTTGTAAGTCGTTTTAGATGTAAAAATCACGAAGCTTAAAAGTAACAGACAATTCGGTGGACACGAAGAAAACCAATTTCTCAGTTAATTGGGCAATAAATACGGTTGAGGAATCAAAGAGCCGAGTTCGAATTTCAGTCGAATCTATTACATTCACTTACGTGCTAATACCCTTGGGAAACGTATGAATCCTCTTCTTCTCCTCCCAGCTATGGGTAAATAGCAGGGAAGACCGGCTTCTATAGCCTTGGATAGTAATTTTTCTATCGTATAAAAGAAATGGCAACCTACTGCGGAAATAAAAAAAATCTGCCTCGTCAGTCATGATTGCCTAAGCGTGTATCACGTATGGCAGATAACTGACTGACTGATTGTTAAAGACAAACCCTAAACTAAATGACTAAAATAAAATAGTAATGTTAATGTTAGCCGTTTCCTTATAAGGAAATATTTAGTATTCATTGACCGAACAGCCAGTACTGCTGTCGGTCAGATTTAACTATTCTTAGTTTTATCATAGTAAACTTCCACACTCACGAATCGCTGTAAGCGAGTTAAGGAATAATAATCAGGTTAAGGGTTCGAGTTTCAATGGCGTTTATTCACACTATTTTGATTATTATTATTATTATTATTATTATTATCTAAAGCGAAATCGCCTGTATTTATACGTGGGCTATTGTACAGAAGACGTTTCGGCTGTTGCGCCCTCCGGCCTTCATCGGGTGATTGCCGATTCGGGGAGCTTTCAGCGAATTTCGAACTGAACCCTTTATTTTAGCTTGGGAGGTTGTGTTCTCGTTCTGTTGTCCGTATCCAGGCATATCTCGTCTAGTTCTTATTTAGTACTGCAAAGTTATTGCTCGCCCTCGTTTCCACTGAGTCCAAGTACACACATTCCGGTCTAGGGATTGAACTCACAATTACGATGTCGCAAAATTCACGAACTGACGCTTTAATTCACTAGACTATAGTCCCATGAAACAATTCTAAGTGGAAAACATGGGAAGTCCTGGTTATATATTAGGGACTTGGTGGAATTGATCTGAGGTGCCCCCATCCAGAGCAATCGGAAGATAAGCTTGGATGCGGTGAGTCTGTTCACCAGATTTCCTACGAATGAGACTGTCGGTGGTAGGAAACTTTGGAATCAGGCTCCTCTCTTAGTGAACGTATTATTAGATTTGACAGACAACTTTCTTCCAACTAGAGTCTGGCATATACCAACAGAAGGAACGCTTGGCTATGGGTTCACTATTTTCACCAATGATGGCAAACATATATATGGAATACTTCAAGGAAATAGCTTTAGGAACAGCTCCACTGCAGCCAAAAGTATGACTGAGAAGCGTAGATGACACCTTCATACTCTGATCTCAGCAGGAAAGCTGTACAAATACTGGTGGGCCATGTGAACTCAATAAGACCTTCGATCAAGTTCACAATAGAAGAGGATAATAACAAACACTTAGCCTTCCTGGATGTACTAATAACTCGCGCAGAAATGGGTTCAAAATATCTGTATATCGCAATCGAACATTCACAATACCTCGAATTCAATTCCTCTCATCCATACAGCGTACAGGACAGTGTACAACACAGAGAAAAAAAGTGACGAGCCAGACACATAGCAACAGAAAATAATCTACTTCAAGCGTATCATTCAGAATAACAATTACCCTGCAAACATAGCATTGACTTTTGCAGGCAAAATCAGAATTCCCTACACACGAGCCAGCAGTCTGCCACTGGGTGGCATGCTACTAGCGTCTACCGTCGGGCTGTCGGCGTGTTCGTCCCGGCAATGTAACCACTGGCTGATCGCTGGAGGCCCATCGGTGGGCCGCCAGTGGCATGCCGGTGGCTGGAAGAAGGCCATAAATGCGGAAAAAAACCCCACTGAGGATCGAAATTTGCAAAAGATAGATGTGGGGGTACTGTTTCAAGCCTACCTCTACTCTATCACCATTTCCATTGCTAATATTTAGACGAATTAATGATTTAGTCCAACCGTTCGACACCCGTTGGTGGCCCGCTGTCGGACCGCCGACGTGTTCGTCCCGGCAATGTAACCACTGGTAGACTGCTAGAGGCCCACCCGTTGGCCGTCAGTGGCACGTCGGTGGCTGCAGCTAGAGCATTTCACCCCAAGCAAGGGGTTACAGAAGATTTGGAGCAAGATCAGATAGGAGTGATAGAGGAAAGGATGAGGAGAAGGATAGTGGATAGATCAAGGCAACTGGAGATGTCGATTGACATTACATTTGAATAGTTGGAGATTATAGCGCTCAGGGAAACAGGAATAGCGAAGGGAGTTCCACAGGCGAGAGGTGCGAGATATGAAGCTATTGGAGTAGAAGAGACGGCTACATTTAATAGTTTTAACAGCGAAAGGTGAGAGCGGGATGCCAGCCTCGTAGGGCGCTTGAATTCATGAAGTCTGGGAACCTGCGAATGCAGCTCCTCGGAGCAATTACCATGAAAGTATTTGTAAAAAAGACAGAGAGCGACTGTAGACGAGATGCCAGATCAGGGCCAATTATATTGCATATCCGTCTCTAGAACTTATCAAGAACCCCGAGGCAAACAGAAGGGGCTCCAGACCATATATGGCAGCAATACTCCATGCAAGGACGAATTGTTAATTTGTAGATCTGAAGGATCGATTCCGGGGAGAAAAATTCTTGGCGCGGCACAGGGATCCAACTTTCCTTGCGGTGGACGAAGCAATTGACTCAATGTATTTGTTCCATCTCAGGTCAGCAGTCAACGTGAACATTTATATATATCAGCCATTCGTCCATGCGGTGAAAATTGCTGGTCTGATGCTCCTGCCATATATCTCGAGATACTCGACAAAATCCAAAGAAGAATCTGTGATATTCTCAGTCCTGACCTGGCATCTCGACTTCTGTTACTCTCCCACCGACGTGACGTGCCTTCTCTGTGTCTTTTCTATAAATATGTTCATGACAATTGTTCTAATGAGCTCTCCCTCTTGGTACCGCGACTGCATGAATTTAAGCGCAGTACTAGATTGGCGATTAGGTCTCATTGTTTTACTGTTGAAATAGCTAGATATAACCGTAATTTCTATTCTAGTATTTTCTTTTCGCGAACATCTCGCCTTTGGA